ATTTACAATATTTAACTCTTAAATTTAAGGATGATGCTCCTTTTTTTTGCTGGCCTGGACCGACTTGGTCTCCCAAGACAAAATGCTTTGATCAACAATAATAAGGTGGTCTGAATTGCATTTAAGGCCGGTGATTTGAAATCGAGTCAGGAACAATTTGGGTTGAATTTAGATCGGATCAATAACAAGTCGTGTTAATTCCGAGTCGGGTTAGTAACAATCGGGTTGAATTTAGGTCAGGTTAATAACAAGTCGGGTTGATTTCGGGTCGAGTTTGTAACAGGTTCGGTTAAATTCGGATCGGGTCAGGAACATGTCGGTTGAATTCAGGTCAGGTTTGTAACAAGTTGGGTTAAATTCGAGTTTTGACGGGTTAAAACGGGTTTGGGTCAATTTCGATTCAAGTCGGGTTTGGTTCAGGTCAATAATTTACGGGTTACATTCGGGTCGGGTCATTTCCAGGTCAATTCATGTTTGAATCGGGTCTCACATACTCGGGTCAACTCGGCTCTAGGGTTAGTTTCAGGTCGGGTTTAGGTCACCATTTTTTCGGATTCAGATGGGTCGGTTAATAATCGGGTTTAAGTCGGTATTTCGGGTCGGGTCAACTTTTGACAGCTTTAAAAAAAACTAGCCTTAACTCGACCCATGTCATGGATATACATCGATTAGATAATTCGAATTCAAAAAATGATATCATCGTCATGTTTTTGTGTTGGCTTTTGCTCAACAATAGTAGTCAGTTGTTAGTCACCGTAATAGTTGTTAGCTGCAATATATTAGTTCTCACAATAAACATTGTTAGTACAACATAATAAGTTCGTAGCTAATTGCAAGATTAAAATAAAAAATGAATTATTTTCTAAATTTTTCATTAGAACTCTTTATTTTTTTTTATACCTCTAAAAGCTACTTCTCCTCATTCCAAACATTACTTGATGAAACTCTAATATCCGTCCAATTTTAACGTAATAAACAACAATGTTATTGTCTTTAGGAAAAATTAATTTTTGCTACCTATCAAACACATCAAATTGAATTTTGCTACCTATCAAAACTTTTATTTTATTTTGCTACCTAACATATGCCCTTTTTTTAAATTTTGCTACCACCGTTAAGGAATCCGTTAAGTGGGTCCATAATGACACGTGTCGTGTTATTATTGGCCAAAAAAATTAAAAAAATAAATTAATTAATTAAAAAAAATTAAAAAGAAAAACCTAAACTACCCAGCCACCACCCCCGCGCCACCACCCTCTTCCCCCCAACTCACCGCACCCCTCCCCGAAACCACCACCCGCGTCACACCACCAGCCCCAACCTACCTGAACCCTCCCCCTCCCTTTCCCGCAACCGCGTCGCCCCTAAAAACCACCAAAACTAAAACCCTAGATCCCACCACGGCCACGAATCTGACCACAAATGGACGAAATCGGCCGGTTTTGGGGCTCAGTGGCCTTAACCGGCCGATTTCGGCCTTTTAAGGCCAGATTCTTGGCCGTTTTTGGGGAGGAGGGTTTTGGGTTTAGCGGTTTTGGGGGCGACGCGGTTGCGGGAAAGGGAGGGGGAGGGTTCAGGTGGGTTGGGGCTGGTGGTGCGACGCGGGTGGTGGTTTCAGCGAGGGGTGCAGTGAGTTGGGGGGAAGGGGGTGGTGGCTGGGTAGTTTAGGTTTTTCTTTTTATTTTTTTTAAATTTTTTATTTATTTATTTTTTTTAATTTTTTTGGCCAATAATAACACGACACGTGTCGTTATGGACCCACTTAACGGATTCCTTAACGAATTCCGTTCAGTGGTAGAAAAATTTTAAAAAAGGGCATATGTTAGGTAGCAAAATTCAATAAAAGTTTTGATAGGTAGCAAAATTAAATTTGATGTGTTTGATAGGTAGCAAAAATCAATTTTTCCTTATCTTTATCATATAGTATGTAGTTGTGGAACCTTGCCAAAGAAGGTATGTAAGATTGTTATACAATATATATTATTGATATTGGATACGCACCTTAAAAAAATAGATCTAGATTTGGTTTTTGTGGTAGCTCCAATTGATATAAGTTGGATACTTCCTTTACAAAGGCAGCTTATAAGGGTTGGAAATGGAATTGCCAGACTGGTACTTAACTAGTTGTAATGTGACTTCCTGCTAAATTAAACTACACTATACATATTTATTTTTGTTACCAATTAATTCATATTACACACTTTATATAATATGGTCCATGAATTTATCTCTTATTATGGCTTATGCATGTGCAATCACCTGTTTGCCAATCTGGTTTACGTTACAAATTTAGAACCCAAAAAAAAAAATACGAAATAAATAAATAAAATTTCAATTTGAATATAATTCGTTGGAATGTTAATTTAATAATTTAATTCCTTCTTTATAAAATCATTCTTTTAAAGAAAAAAAAAACAGTTAGGAAGTCTCAGTTTACAAGAAACCTTTATACTTGCATATGGCCCTCCCTTCTCACTGGGAACCATCTTAGATGTTTGAGATAACATGACTGGTTCCCCTTAAAAGGGAAAATATAAGGTTTTATTTAGTATCCAATTTTATTCTTTTTTTATTATTATTTATTTTTTTATTTTTACTTCTTTATGTTTTTTGTGATTGGAAAAAAAAAATGCCTATAGGACTATAGGTGTATCATATGTCTAAACTATTTTACCTCGTTTTTTTTTAATTATTTGGAAAAATCTTAAAAAAGATTATCATAAATATTGATTAAAAATGAATTATCATTTTGTGAAATATCTTTATATTATGAGTTAGAGTTACTTTTATATGGAGTATTTCCTAGCTAGTTCCTTTAAATATTTTCCCTAACCTTGATTGACTTGTTTACATAAGCCGCACCTTTTTATTTTATGTTTTTTTTTTTTTATTTTTTTTAATTTTTTATTTATAGCTTTTACTAATCAAAATCAAAGATATTTAGGCTAACACTCCGTATGATGTATTAACAATCACGATATTTGTTTTTGTAAGAAATCCAAACAGGGGAACTCATTCACCATATTGATATATCAAAAACTTTTGTATACACCCGGTTTACACTAATTTTACTGTACATCGAGCAGTATAAGGGTAACTTTTACCTAATTTTAGAGTAACTTTTTGCCTTTTTTTGGGTAACTTTTAACATAATACAATTTTTATATAAATAGACAATAAGAAAAGTTTTATAATGGTAATTTAATTACATTTAATCACAAATAATTGATTTTTAAGTCATTTAAAATGTGATTCTTTACTAATAATTTTTATTTGTATTGGATTACTTTTATGCATATCAGGGTAACTTTTATTTATTTTAGGGGTAACTTTTGATCAATCTAGTCTATCTTTATAATGGATGTACAATAATTATTGTACACCCGATTTTTTTTTAAAGTTTGTGTTGATATATATATATATATATATATTTTACTATAGCTTCTATTTATTAAAAAAAAAAAATCAAATATATTGATGGTTAAAATGAGGCATTAATAAAAGCAATATAAAAAAAATAATAATAATAAAAATAAAGAGGAGATAATAAAAGAAAGTAGAAAGAATCACATGGCGTAACATGGAAGGAGAGAGGAATGAAGAGCGGTGATCTCATTCTCATATTGATGGCAATCTACTTGGTGTGTATCATGTATGTAGAATTGTAGATGTAGAATATAGTGTAACGTAGCTTAAAGATGCTTAGCTTACCAGCTAATTCACCAACTGCCGCGTTACCGTTTTTAGCTTTTATTCCTCTCTTTAAGTTGGTCATCAAGACGCCACTCTTAACCTAATATTACAATTTAACCATTATTTCTATAATAATCTATTTATGTTACCTCATCATTGATCACCTTCTTGTTTCATGTGAAATTATATCCATTTATTTTACAAAGTTTGCAAGTAACATGCATCATATGCAAGTTAATTATCAATCATAATCTAACTTTATTTTTTTATGAAAGTTTATAATTACAATAAGCATACAGTTGGGATGAAATTTGAGCTACTGAACGATTATAAAAAGTTGTCTTATCAATGTACTCCTTACGTCCTTAGTAATTTAAAGTGTAGTTATTTCATGATATTAATGTATTCATAATAAAATCATTCAACATTGTTTGGTTAAAAAAACAAAAAAGCATATTAGGTGGTTTTGGCAAAATGAAAAAATAAATAAAAATGAATGATGGTGGAGTAAAGATCAATTTTGCTTTTACCCTCTTTTCAGTCCATTTTGGTGTACCCACTGATCAAAAACCGGGATCACATTAAGGTGGAAATAATTAATCTGGAAATTAACCCAAAGTTAATTAGCCTCTTTAAATAATAGTAATTTTTTTTTAAGTACGAAGTGATAATATCCCTAATTATCTTTTCTTTTTTTTTTTTCTTTTTTTTTTTCCAGTCAGTAAGGCTAATCCTCCCTGTCAAAAAAAAAAAAGAAAAAGAAAAAAAGAGGTTAATTTTTTAATTAGGGATAAATTAATATCACCTCAGACATTATTAGAGAATTTGATTTTTAAACAACCTTCTATTTCTGAATTCCTTTATGTAATACTTTACGCAGTTGACCATTAAAAAACCACATGTCCAAATTACAAATTGATTATTGGATTACGTCAACTACAAGTTTGTTTTTCCACGTTATTTTCAACACAAAATCAGCATCTTCCCTAATCCCTATCTTCACGGAATACATGCAATGACAATCAAAGAACCATTCAACCAACCTAGTGTAATTAAGTAATACTCGTAGCCTTTATAAATTACAATAATTAATTCAAGAAATGTCAACTAATAGTTCAAATTCTCAAGGGATCAATGGATCATACATTCATACGGATTAAATCTTGTACACACATCGCCTCTACATGGCTTGCCAAAAATAGATATTTCGTAACAAATTTAAAGTAAGCCATAATGTCATAATGATACAGAATCCTCAAATTCGTTAAAATTTCCTCTATATATTATATATAGTGTTTACAAAAATCAAAGAACAATGGGATTTCCAATTTGGAAAAACCCTCTTATTCTGTTACAAATCATTTACAAAGGGGCCAAAAGCTTCTCCACTAATTGTGAGCCAATGGCAATGAATAATGGTAAAAAAATGTGACAAATAATTGACTACAGGAATGTTCTGTAAAATTTCTACAATAACTTTTCTTTACTCCCTGTAAGTTGTTGTACTTATACCTATCAAATTCTTTTTTTTTTCTTCCCAATTTTCTACACAACAATTAGAAATCTACAAACTAAAAAAAAAATATTCAAGCTTTCCCGGTTAAGGTCTTACGGAGTCGGTAAGTTTAGCAATTATACCCTGTTGCTGTTGTTGCTTTCCATGTTGCTTAGCCTGATGCTCAGACCAGTAAGACTGCGCGGCTAAAACCCTGTCCAAAAGATCTTGGGGAACTGGCTCCCCTCTCCTTTGCTGTGGTGAGATTCTTGCCGTGTGAACCAGTGTTTTCCACTTATCCTAAATAAAGATTAAAAAGATCGCGAAATTAACAAAAAGAAATAAATAATAAATACAACTCAGATCATGTGAGAAATGAAAGGATAAGCATATGCTCTTCATAAAACACAAATCGTAGGTTGTCTTAATAACAAGAATACAAAACCATGTGGATCACAGGCTTTTCACCCCCACAAGGGTTTTGGAGCTAAGCTTAGATTCATGTCTCATTAACAACTCACACATAATAAATTATCAACTATAAATTCAAAATAAAGTTAATAAATTTCAATTACATTTAATAATGTATATAATTAATTAATCATACATTATCTTATCAATGAGGAGTTAGCCAATCACTGTCAAGATAGTTATGTACAAGTGAAGTTAAGGTTGCTTGAGTCCCTAAAAGATGGAACTATTAGTGCCAACAGAAGGAATCAGAACAGTGAAAGCAATGTTTGGACCACAACTGCGTAAGGAGAATAATAACTCAATAAGGCAGGACCCATACAAGTCTATGTCCATGTTCATGTAAATCGATTCAAATCCTTTTGAGCAAATACATTATGCAAGAATGAGCTAATAGACCATTCAAGAATATCTAAAATATCATGTTAGAAAAGTATACAATTATAGCAAAATAGACTCTTACCTTCAAATCAACATAAGTTCGATGCTTAGCATTCTCAAAGGCGCACAGTTTAACATCACGCCACCTGTGAAGTATGAACTTGGCATCAGGAAATTTTAACATATGAGTGTATAATGTATACTTAAGAATGAAAAGATCATAACAGTCCCACAACCTCCTCCATATGGGGAGGGAAGAGGATAAAAGTCATGTACCTTCCAGTTCCGAGTTTTTCCACTGCTCGAACAAGTGCTTCTACCTCAGAAACAGAGAAGGGTCGCCTAGTACGGCGTTGTCCAATATCTGAACGCTTGGATCTTTGGTTCATAGGCACTACAGCTAGAGCTTCCATGCTTTCTTCAGGAACAGGCACTATAGCTTTAGATTTCGAAACAGTTTTGTCAGTCAGTTCAGTTGAAGGATATGAAACTAAGTCCTTGATACTTCCAGATGGTTTAATTGAATCAGTTAAAAATGGTTTTTCCGGAGTTTTGATAACAAAACTGTCGCCATTAGGGTTAACTTGAGACCTGCAGAACACCAACAATAACACAGTCAGAGGCAAACAGTACCAGATAAACATAGGGTGAGAAAATGACAGAAGAAAGCAGTCAAATACCTATTTACAAATTTGGGTGAGTCACATGGAACTGGAGAAGGAGGTTCTTCAGAGCATTTAAGTGGAGAAGGTTGAGTTGGACTATTTGGCTCTAGCATAAACCCAATTGTATCCATATCATCACTTTGGGATATACCAGACTGGAGTAAAGTTCTGTTGTCATCTCGAATCGTCTTTCCTTGGAGAAGTACACCAACACGCAAACCTCCACCAAGAATAGTCGTCACAGCCTCTAAAACAGTTCTCTGTGGAGTAATCATAAATGATCAAATATTATCAATCATGAAAACTGTCAAGCATCATTAACCAGGAAAAATCAGAAACAATGAAGTCTTCATGCATATCAAATACAATTATGAGAAGTATGTAGTAATAAATCATGACAACCGAATGAAAAACAAGATGGAAACTATTAAAAACTAAATGTTCTTGCAAACAATAACTCAGTTGCATACCTTAAGTGAACCAACAGTTGCACTCTCCGGAACCTCAATGAAAAGCTCTGGTACTTTGAAGGAGTTAATGCTAAGTCGCACTGCATTAAAAACATTTTACATGTAAGAAATTCTCACAGGACAAGCAATTATAGCTCAACGAGTTAAATACAACTAAAAAGCTCCAATAGTACCTTGAGAGTTTCTAGAATTGCAAGATTTTTGGCGGCAAAGACCTGAAGACGGTGTCCCTTTTCCTGCATGATAAAGAAATTGATATATCCAATCAGAATTTGCTATTTACTAAAACTGGAATTACAACAAGCCAATCAATACAGATGAGGTAATTAAAAAAAAAACCTTCAAGCAGCTTTCCTGCTGAGGCATTCTTCTCATCATCTACGCCCTTCTCAGGCGAGTTAGAAACACTTTCACAGCTTATGCCTCCATCATATGTCACCACTGAGCTTCGATCAAATAATCTTCGTTTCTTGAATGGAGTATTACGCTGAGACCTGTCTATCTCATAAGAGGGCCTCTTACTAGAGTCATTGTTCTTTAATCCACCATCTAGAGTGCCAAAAATCAACACACATTGTTGTTAGCATCAAATTCCCTTCTAGAATGATGAAAGCCATTCAACATATACAAAACAATTAACGCACCTGAGTTAGAAGGTTCATAATCCTTCAGTTTTGGAGCCGTCTTCCAGTATTTAGACGACAAAAGCTTGTTGTCTTCGTCACATGCAGGTGACCTGAATGCCTTCATTATGTTGTTAGGTTTAGAGCACTGAGAAAGAATTTCATCATCATCTTTACAGTTTATTTTTACATCGTTCCCCTGTTTCAGAGACGAAGCATTAGGATTAGCACCCCTACCAAGGGTCAAGTTAACATTTTCTTCAGAGTTGGTTGGTGCAGACGACTTGTTAGCTGTAGCACCAACTCCAGAAGCACCCCCGTTAGCATATAGCTTCCTAATGAGCCCATTTTCTATATTAATGGCATCAGACTCCCCACATTTGGGGGAACTCTCATCTACTTTACAAGAATGTTTTACAAACAAGCTGTTGATTTTCTGGGTCACCAACTTTGAATCAGAATCAATCTTCTCAGAACACACAGAGCTTGCGAAAGGAGAACCGTGCTTTCCAGTTACTTCATTCACTAATTCAATCTTCCCTTTACATGAATCCCTCTGAAGGCCAGAGAAAAAGACACTACCCTCGGAACTGCCCTGATCATCATGTTCGCCTCCTAGTATTTTATCAACATCCAGAGGCTCATTCTTAACAACGATATCCTTATCAATTCTGCACTGATCAAATCCAACAGCTGCACTACTAGAAGCAGAAGAGCACTCACTCTCTTCTAGCAACTTTCCAGCAACCGTGGCCAACAACTCAAATGCACATACTTGGCCACCGTTTTCAGGTGTCTTCTGACGAAACCCCCGTTTCTGTAACCAATTACACATCAAAATCGAGCAACGAAAGCAATGCAGTTATATACCATAACACAATCAAACAAAACATACCCGTATGGATCTAGGAGCTCTAGGTATAGCAGGCGAACGGTATCCATTATAACCGTGATCCAACGTTCTCTTTAACAACACCATTTTTCAGACATACATGCCAGGAAAAAACTACAGAATTCACAAATGGTAGGTAATCCTGTGTGACAGCAAAACCAATGAACGAGTCAATAAAACCAGAAATTATTCCATAAATTCTACACAATCTGTAAAGTCTGTTTAACATAATTTAATCCAAGTTTCCAAATCAGGCATCATTACAACTTTACATTAAATTATATACAGAAAAAAAAAAATCAAATATAATTTAGATCATAATAATTCTGTTATGATCAAATAAAGTAGTAAAATCTAACACGAAAATCTTCAGATTTTATAAAACCCTCTCTCTTAAAACCACCAGAAATTAAAGAATTATGAATTTTTTTTTGATCAATTGCTTCCAACAGAAGCCACGAAAAAAGTACATGAGAGAGTAAAAGCAACAAAATTACGCAACAAAATTACGAATTCTGGATCCTAACAACTTGATCATCAGCATAAAATGCAATTACAGATCAAATTAACCAAATTCGAACACAATGATCATTTGATCAACAATCCAAATCAACCAATCTGAGAAACATTTCCCAAATAAAACTCAAAATTCAGCATAAATTCTCCAAAATCTCAAATCAAACAGTTACAATTCAAACAAATTCAGCATGTTAGATCAAAATTATGCACAATTACCGCCGAAAACCGCGAAATTAAACTAAAAAAAATAAAAATAAAAAACCGCACCTGATAATCAAACAAACGAACCGATCTTCGTTCTTCGATCAAACAATATAACTACCTAATTTACAACTGATAATCAAATAAAAAATAAGGTAGAACAAAATAATCGTATTTTAAAAATTATTATTTTATTACAATGAAAAAATCTCAAAGAGATACGTAAATCTTTCTCTCTCTTTCAAAGAAATTATGTATGATCAATCATTCATTCATCCATTTGATTCATTTCATTTGAATCAACGAAGAAGAAATGAAAATTTACAAAATAATAAGAAAAAAAGAAGTAAAAATTGTTTATGTTAGTTTGTTTCTCCCTCTAAAAAAAATGGGAAATTCTCTCTCTAAAGGAGGGGTTTGGTTGTGGGGACAGAGAAGGTATACAAAAACCCCGGGGTGTGAGGGAAGGGGGGGATTTAAATTACCCAACAAAAAAACTGCTTAAACCCCAACCAAATCTCTCAGCCACATAACCGGTTATTGCCGGTCAAACGGTTATAGGTTAGTTATCGACTTATTTTTATCATCCGGTAAATTATTACTTGTTTTTTAATATAAACAAAATAATAATAATAGTAATAAAGTGGTTTAGTTTAATTTTTGATTTTATTTTTCAGACCACTTCTTACTAAATTCCTAAATTTACTAATCTAAAAAATTTTGTAAGCCTCTAATAATGGGTTTAACCCCCCGCCATTATCGTAGTTTCTTTATTTGACAGTGTTGGTTTGGATAGTGTTGTGGAGATAATTCAGGACTAAACAATGACATTTTTGGAAACTTTTTGGCTTTACTATTTTGTTATTTTCAGTCCGTTGAATTTCGTCTTCATTTCTTCTTAAAAATGGGATTTTTTTTTTTTTTTGGTAAACGAAAAAAAAAAAACTTATAACTGTAAAATATTCTCTCTTTTTTTACCAAGTATTGTACTCCGTAAGACCGTAACAATGGTCTCACTCTTTTTTATTTGAGTGATTAATTTGGAGTGTAACATAATACAAATTACAATCCTTGATTAATATGTCAAACTAACGTTATATGCTTATCTCAACTTATTAATAATTTCGACAAAAATAATACTCGTATTTGTTTATTATTCAACGTATTTTGAAAGGAAAAAAAAAAAAACCTTATTTTGGATATATATAAATCGTTGATCAAGAAATTGTCTAAAATAAATTTTTTGTGTATAAGTGTACTTGTTATTTATTGAAAATTTTAAGGTGCAGGCGGCTGTACCTTGCTTGGTACAGCCAAAAAATGCAAAAAAAACATGTAACTATTTTGTAAAGAGCATACAATTATTTTGTAAAGAACATATAGTTGTTTTGTAACGAACATTCAATTTTATATACTTTTTTCATATATAAAGAACATCTGCAATATTAATAGGGGGGTGTTAAATACCGCCATCCAAAATTATCAAAACCGCCAACATTTAGTGTGAATGGACAATCATGTCCTTAGTACTTCATTACTATCTTCCCTATTGCCATCAATCACTAACACCTTGACACCACCACCCTAATTGACGACTAACACCACCACCACCACCACCACCACACTGACCGCGACGATCACCACTGCACTAGCGACCCACCACCTTCCCTCCTTTTATTTTATTTTTAAATTTCAGATTTTCAGGCAATCGCGGTAACCAAAGCCCAAAATCAATTACCGTGTATGGTAAACGGAGCCCAAAATCGGTTACCGTGCATGGTAACCGGAGCCCAAAACCAGTTATCGTGCATGGTAACCGGTTTTGGGCTCCGGTTACCATAGAATCGATTAAGGTGCACGGTAACCAGAGCCAAAAACCGGTTACCACGCACGGTAACCGGTTTTGGGTTCCGGTTACCACGCACGGTAACCGGTTCTGGGCTCCAGTTACCACGGTTGCCTAAAATAAATAAAAAAAAACCACCACCTTCACGCCGACCAGGGAAGGTGGTGGGTTGTCATAGAGGGGGGTGTGGTGGGTCGTCGGTTAAAAGGGGTTGTGATCGCCGGTTGGAAGGGGTTGTGGGTTGCCGGAAGGATGAAGGGATGGTGAAGTAGTAAGGGTATGATTGTCCATTCACACCAAATGTTGGCGGTGGTGATCATTTTTGTTGGCGGTGTTTAGCAATCCCTTATTAATAAAGAACATGATAATAATATGTAATAAACTTTATCTATATATAACCACCCTAATTTGAAGACAAAATTTAATAAACATTTCACATTAAGCAATGATCTTTATGTTGCAAATAAAGTACATTACACTGACTGATCAATGAACATAAAAATATGTTCTTTTTATGTATTTTTTTGGTGCAAATATGTTCTTTTCACTCTATGTAGATGTTCATTACATTTTAATAGTATGTTATTTTTACTTTAGGTATATGTTCATTACATTTTAATAGTATGTTCTTTTCACTATAATTATATGTTCATTACTTTTATATATCATGTTCTTTCCTACAAAACGACTGTACGTTGCACCGTACAGGCGCCTGTAGGAACCAACTATTAAAATGATCTCAACTTCTCAAGATCTTCTGAAATCGAGAAGGAAGCTAAGTTCTAATCATTTGAGCTACCCTCACGCACTTTGTTGTCTTTTGTTTGCAACAATCTAAAATAATATTCAAATATTGAGATGAACTTAACAAGATTTGTACATGAATAAATTAGTTATGTACAAAAATAATAACAAAAATAATTAGCTATGTACAAAAGTCAATGTAATACTCCCATTCGTATTTTTTTAAAAAATATAACGAGTATTTGATTCGTGTAGCATTTAAGTTAAAATAATTATTTTTATTTTGAAAGAAATTATATTTTTATTTGTAAAGTGTAGTACTTTCAATAATTTATGTACTGTTCTATAATAAATAAAATAAAATATAATAAAGGGTATGTGCATGAAAAAAATTATTTAATACCTCGAGCTTGACCATATATGGTGACAGCATTTTATAAGCATAAAATTTTAATTTATAAAAAATTAATAAAAATAAATAAAATGATGTTTATGTTAAAAAGCGGAGCATGATTGTTAGCTTAGGAAAAGGAAAGCACACAAGTAGGAGAGATTATCACTTATCAATTTATCAAAAAGACAATTTAGCAAGCATATAATACGACAACCTTTTAAAACAAATGAAAACTATGAACAACATAAAATAATTATGATATTATCATTAATAGCAAAAATAGGTGGTGCGACAAATTTGTTAAAGTGATATTATAAGGAAAAATCTAGAGGTTTCTATAAATTTTGGTACCTAGGAAAAATATATTTGGACACTAAAGTTTGAATATGTGGTAAAGAGAGTAATGGGATATTAGTAATGACAAAGTGTCTTGAATTATCCTCCTATCTTATCGGCTCGTTGGTTGCAATCATCAAGTATTGGGTATGGTCCATCACTTTTTCAAAGGAATCCTTGAGTATATGCTCATAACCTCATAGCTTAAAAGGGTCAACGATCACTATCCATATATTTCTCACATCATCACGTACTCTCTCTCTCTCTCTTTTTTTTTTTTTTTTTAATACTCATCTAATACTTCCTTCGTTCTCGTAATATTGCAATATCGGGATGGACATGAGTTTTAAGAAGAGATAGAAAGAAAATAAGACAGATTGAGACAAAGAGAGAAAACGTGTGTGGATAGAGAAATGTTATACTCCGTAATATTTATAAAACATCTTAAAATGATAATTGTTGTAATATTTATGGAACGGAGAAAGTAGAGTATAATTGTGTAGTTATAAACTTTGATTAAGGGGAGATGGTGAAACACCAAACTAGCTAATTGGGCCGTACTATAGTGTCATTTATAATATATGATAAATCTAAGGGATAAACTAAACAGAAAAGTAGAGCAAGCGAAAAAAGAAATGGAAAAAAACTTATACTTCGTAATTTCCTTCTATGAAATCCTCTTTTAGCAGAGAAACTATCAACATGGATATCATAATGATACAGAGTAGTGTTTTTCAACTACCATTCTAGCTATATTAGAAAGTTACCTTGAAAAAAAAAAAACTAAGATTTAGGGTAAAGAACTCAATACATACATAAAGTTAAACTCGACACATTAAAGCAGAAAAAAAAATTGAAATTTAAAGATTATGATCAAATATGTTTCGTTGCCATCAGAAAAAAGAAAGGAATAATAAAATCAAATTAATGAAATGATTATAATTTTGGATGATTTGATTAGAATTATCTCTCAAAAAGATTTTAAATGGGAAGAAATATAACAAGGAATACAGTCTTTTGTAGCTGTAATTTTTGTACAATGTTTTAGTCTCATGTTAAGCATGATGGGAATTTTGTAGTCCACCACTTAGCTAGGTTAGTGCTATTTAGTTGTGAACAATGTTGGGAAAACCACGCTCCTAGCAAGGTTTCGTGTATGTTTTTGCTAATTTGCTTACTATGATATAATAATTGCTAGTTTAAGTTAGAAGGAGTAGCCCAATAGGCCTATCCAAACCCGGGTATTCTTTGGGTCGAAGCGGACTGGAATGGGCTAACGTTGATCAACTCTCTGACAACATGGCTAACAAAGAATCCGTGGCCCAATGGGCCATTACATAAGCATCTCTTTTTTAAAAAAAACAAAAAAAAGTTATCCAAACTGAAATATCTTACACGGTGAAAATTTAAAAAGTTTTCAATATTGATTTGGGCTGCTTTTGCTCCTCTGATATTGGTTTGGTTTTACGCAATTCTTGTACATGGTATTTATGGGCCTAGATTGATGAAGCCCGCAAATTGGGTCGGAATAGCTCAATCAGACTTGCACTTTTCACACAATTGCTGATTTGTTTTTGCATGTTATTCCGTAATACAATTGGTAAATGTAGCCCTTATTCGCCTGTGTAGGGCTGTAATATTGTCAAAATTCTAGTTGAATGTTATATGGTGAAGTTAGCCGGTGAGTTATTATTAGTACTACGACATGCTTCGTAGTACATTCTCATAGTAGGTTAGATATGGGAATGTGTTTATCATTGGAATGATGAGGATGAGGGCGACGAGGATGAAAGTTTGTATTCACTAGTGATTTCAATCTCTGTAAGCTTGATCATAGTAGCAATGAGAAATGTTGGACAAATCTTGAAGATTTGTTTATTGCTAATAGCTCAAGTGGTTAGTGCTTCCCTTCTCATTTTTACAGATCATGGGATCGATTATCACTCATTCACTCCGCCTTTGTGGCTCTCTAAATATAACTCCACCAATCCACCTATATTATTGGTTATTAATGTATTTTCTCATGAGCCATAGAGCTGTCAATTCGGGTAAACGGGTCGGGTTTGAATCGGGTAAGAGTGAGTCGTGTCAACTAGGATTAATTTCATAACCTATGCGGGACGGGTTTGGGTTGGGTCATGCTTGAGTCGGGTCATATTTCTTATCGGGTTTGGGTGG